GCCGTGGCTATCCTGCTGCCCTCGGGCTCCGTGGCTTTGCTCTGCTTTGCTCCCCGTCCCCCTGGTCTGTAGACCAGGGGGACGGGGAGCAGAGCAGAGCAAAGCCGCGGAGCACACAGCCAGCTGACAGCGCAGACGCGTCTGGGCTGTCCGCTGCCCACGTGTTCCGCCACTTTGCTTCCTCTCCCTGGTCTGCTGGTGACCAGGGAGAGGAACCCCGTTCGTAACTGCGGATCCGACGTAAGTCGGATCCGCGTAACTCGGGGACTGCCTGTACTCTGCTATTTCATTTCAAAATATGCTGCTGAGAGAAGGAAAAATAAGTATGAGTTTGGAAAAGGAAGATGCCACAAGTGATCTTACTTTTGCCATAAGTGCTGGAACTAGGGATTATACGGGTGCTCCTGCACCCCCTGGCTTGAAGAGGATTACATTATATACAAGGTTTACAGTTTGGTTCAATGGCTTTCAGCACCCCCACTATAAAAATTGTGCCAGCACCACTGCCTCTTGCTGATCTTTTTAATCTTTTTCATGCTGTTATTCCAGAAAGCCATTGAGGATCCATTTCCAGGAAATGCCTCTCTGCACAAAAGCACTGACAGCAGTTTTTAAGGAGACATTTACTATTGCTCTTCTTAATGGACTGTAATAAAATAAACTGCTTCCTAATTGCAAGAAGGATCATGTCATCAGCTCTGTAATGTCACTTTATTACAGCACATACTGCATCAGAATTTTTGAGTGTAGCAAAAAAGAAGTAATAGTTGAAACAGTTAATGTAGAAATGTTTGATACTCCTGGTTAAGAATGCACAATTAGGATCCCCTCTCTCCAAAGAAAAGGCAGCACAGTTGTACTACTTACTTTTGCACTGCAATAGAGTTAGTGTCCTTTTTCTTAACATACAGGGTACATTGCAGGCATGCTTACTGCTATTCACCAAATGTTCAAAATTGGAGAGACAGAGTGGAGCCCATAAATGTTCTTCTCTCCAGAGGGGAATAATCCTTTCACATGCTGCTGCTGTAGTTTGATAGCTACTAAACAACCACAACAGCCATTGACTTCCATGGGAATTGAAGATTCTTAGAATCTTTGAAGAATCACTCAGCAACTCAGTAGGTCAGACCATATATCGGGAAATATGGAGCTTCCCTTGCAACTTCAGAATATTACACAAATAGGGCTTTTTCTATTCTTCGGAAAATCAATAGTTTTTTCCACTGGCTTCAATGGGAGCAGGTGCAGGGCCATCCATGATTGATCTTTAACCCCAAATTTCCTTCTTTATTGGATGAATATTAAGCACCAAATAAGTAGCCAGCTTTTCAAATGAGTTCATCTTGCTCTTTTCACAATCTGTTCTTTATTTGGGTGACTAAATGGAGACCGAGTTCTTTTGAAAGTATAATCCCAATAATCCGGTCTTGCACTGATTTAAAGAACTATCCTACATGTCTCTATCTTACTGGCATCCTAGATATTAGATCTTGGGGGCAACTAGGCATAACAATACTAGTGAGCAGCATTTTTCTGCCTGCCAGCCTTTGAGTGGAGAAATGCCAGTTCAAGCCACACTAAATGCCATTTTAATATATAGCCAGGTCTGGCTCGACTGTTTTTTTGGTGCCCTAAGCAAACTATGATTTTAGTGCCGTCCCCCACATTCAATACAGAGAAAAATTAGAAGTCTAGAATGAAGTTTTACCATTATTTACTTGACATTTGAAATGAATAATGTAAAAATAAAAAAATATTTTTATTGATTTTTTCTACTTTTCATTGACCCTAACACAACTACATCATATAAGGAAGGTAAACCACCCAGTAGCTGACATTTTACAGTTCTGATGGTTTTGAGTTGTACACAGTGTTTGTAGTCATTGCTATAAACAGGTGCATTTCAAGTTGCAACTCTCTTCCTTCCCAAGGAACCGATTTTTGGGAAGCTATGAAAATCTGTATTCCTTGATATAGAATGAAGTCTGTTTTTGAGTTATAACCCTTTTGCACTGGGCAAACTATTTGTTAAAACATTTAGAACTTTGCTTTTCCTGCTTTTGCTTTCATGAATAAGACAATAAGTTGTTCTTTGTGAGCACAGTATCTTTGGGATTATGGCTTGTCACATGATAGAACAGATGTTGTGGGTTGCTAACCGGCCTTCACTAAGCAGTGAGTAACACTGTCTGAACTGTATGACTAGCCAAAACTGTGATATTGAGAATGACTGAATTGCCACACCCCGCCTTCAGGCAGAAAACCCAGATGGCACTCTTTTGAAGCTATGCTGTGACACATTTTAACTATATTTACATATACAGCCATGCTCCACAATGTGAAATAAATAATGTAACTCAACTTTTGACATAGCAATGCAGCACTGTTTTACAAGTACTGTATTGTCTACTTCCTTTTTTAAGAGATAACATATGAATATATTTTTAAATAGGAAACAAATTCACTTCTGTCTAATTTGGTACCCATTAATGCCTAAAGCCCTAGGCAACTGTCTAGTTCTCCTATATGGTTGGGCCAGCCCTGTATATAGTCTTTAACATATCCCACCCACTATAATTCTACAAACAGAAAGCTGATGCTTACAACCCAACCACAAATGAAATTTACCCAGTAGGTCTTTCTATGGGCAGTGTTCATTGGTAGTGTCACCCAGCGATTAGAATATTGTCTCTACTTCCCCCACCTCCAATGTCTTTCACTGGTCTGCAGTGATCTGCCTTTGGTGGGTGTTAGCCCTACCCTCTGGTCCAATCTCACATTAGCCATATCCATCTCTGGGGAAACAGAATCTGAAGGAGGGCATCAAGCTCCTCATCTTCAAAAAGGAGGGCAACACCTTCAGTCTGCTTACCAACCATTTCAGGTGTACAGCCTCAGTCGCTGAGTTGGCCAAGTCTTTATTCTCTCTGAGTTTCCAAAAGAGAAAGCTTTAAGGGTTTTTTTTTTTCATAGAATCATAGAACACTAGAACTGGAGGAGACCTCAAGAGACCATCAAGTCCAGTCCCCTGCCCTCACAGCAGGACCACGTACTGTCCAGATCATCCCTGATAGGTGTCTGTCTAACCTGCTCTTAAATATCTCCAGATGATGATTCCACAACCCCCGTAGGCAGTTTAACCACCCTGCCAGGCAGGACGTTTTTCCTCATGTCCAACCTAAACCTTCCCTGCTACAATTTAAACCCTTTGCTTCTTGTCCTATCCTTAGAGGCCTAAGAGAACAATTTTTCTCCCTCCTCCTTAAAACACCCTTTTAGATACTTGAAAACCACTATCATGTCCCCTCACTCTTCTCTTTTCTAAACTAAACAGCACCCAGTTCTTTCACTCTTCCCTAATAGCTCATGTTTTCTAGAACTTTAATCATTTTTGTTGCTCTTCTCTGGACCTTCTCCAATTTTTCCACATGTTTTTGAGGCCTAATCAGCACAGAGTAGAGTAGAAGAATGACTTCTTGTGTCTTTGTCACAACACTCCTGTTAATGCATCCCAGAATCATGTTTGCTTTTTTTTGCAACAGTGTCAAACTGCTGACTCATGTTTAACTTGTCATCCACTATGACCCCCAAATCTCTTTCAGCAGTATTCCTTCCTAGACAATTACTTCCTATTCTGTACATGTTAAACAGATTGTTCCTTCCTAAGTGGAGTACTTTGTATTTGTCCTTATTAAGTTTCATCCTATTTACATCACGCCATTTCTCCAGTTTGTCCAGATCATTTTGAACTATGACCCAATCCTCCAAATCACTTGCAACCCCTCCCAGCTTGGTATTATCTGAACAGTTAATAAATGTACTCTCTATGCCATCATCTAAATCGTTGATGAAGATATTGAACAGAACCGAGTTTTGTGTCTTAAGTAACAAGACAGTTGGTAGGGGAGACCTGGCCTCCCACTCCACCATGTTCTGGCCCAAGGAAGCAATGTGCAGCACCTCTTGGCTGCTTCCTACACACACCATCTCACTAAGGTCAGACATTTTAACACAATAGGAAAGAAAAGGAAAGCAAGTGAATTGTAATCCTCTTTGGGCTCAGCATGCAGGGTCTTTCTCTCACAGAAAGGTTTATGTAGTATTCTTCATGAGCTGTCAAGCTAGGTCTCACTCCCTGTCATGTTAGGCCCCTTCTGAGCTGTTTGGCTCCTTTTAAGCTCCATCTCTAGCTGGAGCATGCTCTACAGGTGGGTACAGGTATTTCAGTCCAAAGTTGCTCCTAACCCCTTCATTTCCGTTATGGATTTTATACACCCCATCACAATCTCATGTTCCTAGGGTTGCCATTTTTTTTGGAATTTATCTTTTCCAATGGACTTTGAAATACACTGAGGTGTCTGGACAGATGTGTGCTCAGACATATGTCATGTCTTGTCTCCCACTGATGACTGGCCCCTATGGTTATCACAGAATGCCGGTTACAGCAAAGGGAATTCTTTCTTACCTCAAATAATACAGGCTTGTGTTACTGGGTTCAATCCCAGCAGATAACCATGTTGTCTGTATATTTGTGGTCAATATTTATTGCACCATAATGATGATTTCCCATTCAGATATATAGAGATATTAAAGAGGATTTGGACCACCCCATAATAATCAGGAAATGCCTAAAAAATTCGGGGTGGAAGCCAATCCTAAAATATTTCCAGAAGGATTGGCAAGTACACAACCTGATAAAGACACAGGTTTTTTTTTGTCTTGTCTGGTATTTATTCAAGTATAAGGCATGTGTATGCTTCCTGATTTTTTTATCCTCCTTTTCCAAAAATCAACCAGCCAATTAACATTTCTTAGATATTTCTAGCATCTATGTTGACTGTGGTTTTCTTTTAAACAATATTCCGCTTAGACCCAAACTGCATTTTTCATATGTTACTGATGATTAAAAACATGTATCCAGTACAAATACACTTAGCTAGTTTTGGTTCAAAGATGTGAATATATACTTGGAAAAGAATTAATTTATTGGTCAATGAGCGTCAGAGACTGGAGGCTGCAGTATGTTATTTATCAGCAGCTCGTTTCAGTCAGGATTGCATAGTATGTGAATTACTCTGCCAATGTTCCCCACATGGTTGACCTGACTGAATCACTGTCTGGTGACTTGAGCCGCAAGAAGATTTTAGTCGCCATCTGTAGATTCAATCTTGGTGCAGTGCTTTTGCTCCATGTGATATATTTGTTGTCCTCCTTCTGCCCCACCATGGGGGAAAAAAAACCAAACAATAATTGACTTGAGAAATAAGTTTCTCCACAGACAGCTGCGCTCCTTTTCCAAGCTATTCCAGTGACAGAAGCACTGAGTGGGACTGCCACCCCCTCCCTTTCTTCCAGTAAATGTGTGAGCTACATAGCAGATGACGACTTTACAGACCGTCTGGTTCCAGCCTGAAGCTGCTAATCACTCAGTAGAAAAAACACTGTTACATTCTTGGTGGTATCTAAAACTTTTGTGGACACTGAAAGAGGTTCAACTGGGCTGACCCAGACATCATAGGATTACTAACCCTATCCTGAGAAAATGCAGTTGATTTTCTTCATAAAAAATACTAATACTGAAAGGTGGACTGTCATGGGAGGTAGAGATGCTCAGAAGCCCTTTGCTTTGAATAATTTAAGTGACTACCCAGTAACTTAAACATATCCTCACACGTGGTGACAAGAGGGAATCTCCTTGCTTTGAGGGCAATACTAATGGTATAAAAATACTGAGAGACTCAAAAAATAATCTACCCTGAAAACGAAGTACCTGTCCTCCTCCCTGACATGTTCCCTTGTTTCACTCTCTCCATCCAATCTTAATAGAAATGCTTGTCAGGCAAATGAAGGCACTTTCTTAGCCCACTTAGACAGAGGTGTATGTGAAGAATGGAAAGTTGTTCTCCATCCCTTTGTTCTTATAACTGGGTTTCTAAAATGCCACTCAAGTACCAAAGAGAGATATTAAGGTCTTAGTTTATATTCAACTTCTCACACAGCACGCTGAACTTGCAGTGTTATCAGAGTCATTATTCAGTGGTGACCAAATGAAGGACAGATCCAGGTTACAAAAAAACAGTAACATACCTCCCCCAGGGGTATGGAAAACCCAGTCCCTTCTGCAGAACTTTCTTGCCTACTGCTTCTGCACCTATCAGGAGAGGGCAGTGTTTAATAGGCTAATTGAGAGATCAGGACCCTTTAACCTTAAACACACACTCACACAGTACATTAGGAGCAGTGGCTGTTTATATGATGGACTCTGCACATCTATGATGGAGTTTAAGAATCTGTGAAGTATGGTATATGGTTAATATTAGAAAACAAGTCACAGCAAACTGACCCTCCCGCTTTAAGAAAGTACAAGGCTTTCCTCTGTTGCAATCCAATAAGAAGGCAAGGGTAGCTTTTCAGCCAGGTCACACAGTACTTGAATCAAGGTTTGGTGCTTAGTTACTAAAATGACTAGGATGACCATATCTCCCTATGCTGCCTACCGACTGGTCTTTTATATGCTCCCCCCTCTTGCTGTTCTCTTCCTGCTTTGTCCCTCCTCTCCACTGCTCCCCCATCAGAAAGGAGTTAAAAAGTTCCTCTGGGTATAAAGCTTCAAACCAATGCAATTTGTGTGGCCTACTAACCCTGAATGGGGGCAGGTCTGTAGAAAGGAGGATCCCTGTAGAAAGGAGGATCCCTAATGCAGCACAGCATTTGGAAGAAGCAGGACTATAAATCAGAGCTCCTTGGCCCCTGGAAGCAGGGGTTGCTGCCTGGGGAAGTGGACTGCGCCTTGAGTGAAAGCCCTCTCAATAAGGAGTAAGGCTGGTATTTTTCTCTTTCTCTCTTTTCTTTTGGTCTTCCCAAAGGCCTAGACCTCTGCTTTTTGTGGGTTATGGAAACACACTGACTTTTTTTTTTGGACTACCTTAATTCCCCTTAGAAGCAGGCAGCTGTCCTGAGTAGAACAGTCAGAAAGCTGTGCTCTGCACTCTGAGCCAGAAACAGTGTCCAACCTCTTCTGAAGGGGGTGCTAGAACAGCACAGCCTAGTACAGGGCCTAGAAAATCTGAGTCAGTCTCTTGAGTGCCTATTTAATGTACACTAATACAGACTCTCTAAAGGAATCAGCTGCCAGCAAGACTTAACATCACTATAAACGTTTGCAGATGTCCACCCATGTTAAAATACAAGTCACCAGTGGCTGTTTAAGGAGAGGTTCTTGCCTGCTCCCTCTCAGAATCTCTGTGAGGGCCTCCCACCACCATGCCCAAAGATCAATTAGCAATAATCGCGCCTCGGTAAGCTCAGAGAATATCTGACAAACACAAACCTGAAGTGTACTCTAGTATCTGCTCACAGGACTCTTCTAAGCCCGTATTCTAACATGAGGATGTTTGTGACATGTTAAAGCATCATAATGCCAATATTCAAAACACAATAACCATGATGTGCATATTCGGGATGGGTAGCATTGAGTTGGTTGACTAGTTGAGAGGGCCCCAGATAACCAGTGCAGGCTCTCAGATGGGCATCTGCCAGTAATACATGGAAAGAACCTAATTTGTCACAGGCAAATAGGTATGTATTGTAAGGCTGCCAATTTTCTATTCACACAAAATGAAAACCCTCACCTTGCCCCAAGGCTCTGCCCCTGCTCATACCCACATCCTCCCTCCCTCGCTTGCTCTTCAACACTCTCCCTCACTTTCACCAGACTGGGGCAGAGGATTGTGGGTTCTGGGGTGGGGCCAGAAATAAGTAGTTCAGAGTGTGGGAAGGACTCTATGTTGAGGGAGTGGGTTGTGTTGTGGGTTCTGGCTGGGGTTGTGGGCTCAGGGGTGGAGCCAGGGATAAGCAGCTTGTGATGCAGGAAGAGTGGCTGCGCTGGGGCTGAGGAGACTGGAGTGCAGGAAGGGCCTTAGGGTTGGAGAAGAGGGTTGGGGATATGGGAGAAGGAGCAGGCTCCAGCTGGGGATGTGGGCTCTGGGATGAGGAGTTTGGGGTGCAGAAGGGGCCTCAAAGCTGGCACTCAGGGTGGGGTGTGGGATCTGGGAGGGAGTTTGGGTGCAATAATGGGCTCCAAGCTGGGCTCAAAGGGTTCAAAGGGTGGAAGGGGTCTCAGGGGCTTGAGGTAAAGGAGGGGGCTGCAGGTAGGCAGCACTTACCGTCAGGTGACTCCCAGAAGCAGACAGCCTGGCAGTTGCACAATGGGAGCTGTGGAGCTGGCACTCAAAGCAGGGACAGTGCATGGAGATCCCTGACCCCTGTGCTTAGGAGCTAGACGTGCCAGCTGCTTCTGTGAGCCACATGAAGCCAGGGCAGGAAGGGAGCCTACCTTACCCCACTGCACTGCCAATCACACTTTTAGCAGCACAGTCCCTTTTCAACTAGGTATTCCAGTCGAAAACCTGATGTCTGGACATCATTGTTCCCTGTAAGCTGTGCGTTTGTGCAGCCACTCAGGAGAAATTCCAATGCTGCTCATCTGATTAATAGAGTGTCTGCAGTTAGGTTTTTTGTTTCTACTGGTGGTGCTCAGTCACACATGTCTCAATGCACATCAAACATTTTTTCTGCACACGGATGGAAACAATTACAGGGGACATTGCTGACTACCCTATTGTATTGTGTTGTCTCTCCACTCTTCCAAACTGTTCCCTCTTCATGAACTGGGAAGAAATGGAAATTTTGGATTCCTACAAATTTTCTGTTCTTGCTTAAAAATGGCACTGGGCAATAAGAAGCTATAGGAGGAAGCTCTATTTGAAAGTAATAGAATAAAAAAATTGTAGGACTGGAGGCAATCAGAAGAGACTTTCTAATCCAGTCCCCTGCACTCAAGCATTATTTAGACCATCCCTGACAGACATTTGTCTAACTTGCTCTTAAAAATCTCAGTGATGGAGATTCCACAACCTCCGTAGGCAATTTATTCCTGTACTTAACTGCCCAGACAGTTAGGAAGGCTTTTTTTTTTCCTAATGGCCAATCTAAACTGTCCTTGCAGCAATTTAAGCTCATTGCTTCTTAATGGCTGGGGGGAGGTGCTTACTTGCTCTTGTGGCTGCTGGGTTGCAAGCTCTACTTTGTTTCCTCAGATCACCAAACCAAGCTCTTGCCTCCTTGTTAGTCAGCCCCAAACTGAACCAGGCTTCTTCCTTTACTCCCCTCTCCAGGCCTGGCATTGGTTGCAGGTACAGTGGGCAGAGCTAGCTGGGTCCAGAGACTTTCTTTGAACTCTGGGGTGCCAAGCACTCTATTTTCCACTCCCTTACAGGTTGTTTGACACAATTTATTCTTGGGAAATCCATGCTGTTACCTATCACATCATCTTCCATATGCCTCCAAACTGATTGCTTAATTATTTGCTCCATCATCTTTCCAGGAACTGAAGTTAAGCTGACTGGTCTGAAATTCCCTATGTATCCTTTTACCTCTTTTTATAAATGGGCACTATATTCATTTTTTTCCCGTCCTCTGGAATCTCTTCCAACTTCTATGACTTTTTGAAGATAATTGCTAATGACTCAGATAGCTCCTCAGTCAGTTCCTTGAGTATTCTAGGGTGTATTTCATCAGGATCTGGTGACCTGAAGACATCTATCTTGTCTAAATAATTGTTAACTTGTTCTTTCCTTGTTTTAGCCTCTGATCCTACCACATTTTTACTGTCATTAATTCAATTATATAATACGTTAGCTGTTATCCACTATTATTATATTACTGATATTAATAATGATTAAAATAATCATTTACATTACAAAGCGCCTGTGATAGATAGGTGCCCTTTTCTAGACATCCCAGCCATTCAGTTAATTGACTGTAAAGGGTTAAACCCAGGGACAGAGGGTATCCAGGAAGTGTTGGCAGGAGAGCCAATGGGAAGAAAGTGTGAGATTTGAATTGAAAAGCAGGTTCTGCCTGCTCCAGGGCTTTTTGTGAGTTCAGAGCACAAACTGGGGCAGAGATGGACTGAGTCAGAAATAAAGCATAGAATTTTCACCAATATCCATTCTTAGAAAGGATTGAACTTTGGAACAACTGATATGTAATTGAACAGGGAATGTTTAGTTAGATGCAATCAGGTTATTTTCTTTATTTTCTGGTTTGTAAACTCCTCTGTGCTGAACCCAGGAAACTCCCTCCTCATATATTGTAATTTTTAAACTGAATCCCAGGGAAGCAATTTTCTATGCTTTTAATCTGCTTTTTTGAGTAGTCTGTAACATCCAGCAAAAAGTATGCTTAGCAAATATATCTTCTTTGTTTTGTTAATAAAATCACATTTTTTTAAGATTATGATCCAATTCCTATGCCTAAGACTGAAGGCCAGCTATTAAGAAATTACAGTTTGTTTTCAAGCTCTCTCCTGATGAAGGTTAAAGACCTTGGGGTTAGAAGAAATTCCCAGTGCATCCTCCTGGTCTGTTAAGGGATTTTGCATTTGTGTAGTAGCAGTGTACCACCCAAGGTCAGGGAATCTGTGACTTTGGAGAGTTTTCTAAGCAGAAGCCTTTAGTGTCATGGGGTATGTCTACACTGCCACCCTAGTTCAAAGTAGGGTGGTTAATGTAGGCATTCGAACTTGCAAATGAAGCCTGGGATTTATATATCCCAGGCTCCATTTGCATGTTCCCGGGTGGGCGCCATTTTTAAATGCCCGTAGTTTGAACTACCTGCCTGCGGCTACACGCAGCACGGACTAGGTAGTTCGAATTAAAGCTCCTAATTTGAACTACCGTTATTCCTCCTGCAAGTTCGAACTAGGGTGGCAGTGTAGACATACCCATGGTGTTTTAAGGTCTCTTACAGGCCCCCACCTTCTGCACTCCAAGTGTCAGAGTGGGGAACAACCCTGACAGCACCTTTCATCTGAATGATCCACAAGTGCTTCAAAATCCATATCCATACAGCTGTCTTGAAATGCAGCCATCTGAGCAGTGAACAAGAGCAACCAACCAGCATACAGCATGCCACCTAAAAGTGAAGGGGGGAGAGGCAAAATTTTGGCTAATGGTTCTGAAGCAAAGTCATGGGTTCTTAAATGGCTATGCAGACTAGACAGGATCCCTTTTTTAGAGCCTCATGTAAAATACTACATAGAATCATAGAATACTAGGACTGGAAGGGACATCGAGAGGTCATCGAGTCCAGTCCCCTGCCCTCGTGGCAGGACCAAATACTGTCTAGACCATCCCTGATAGACATTTATCTAACCTACTCTTAAATATCTCCAGAGATGGAGATTCCACAACCTCCCTGGGCAATTTATTCCAGTGTTTGACTACCCTGACAGTTTGGAACTTTTTCCTAATGTCCAACCTAAACCTCCCTTGCTGCAGTTTAATTTTAGTAAACTGTATGGTACACAATTTGTCAGAAGTTGAACCTGTAGCTCAGTAAGCCATGGTCTTCCCTATTTGATTCTTATATCAGAAAGGCCTCCCTCTTTTGTAGGTGTTCTTGTAAGATGCATTTTGTATGTGGGGTAAGAACAGGATTCCGCCCTGTGTCTGGCTTTGCATGACTTGAGATTTTATTTCATTAGTCTTTACAGTGTTTCTTCGAAAAGCTCTAAGTGCAGGTATTAATTTGCCATTTATTAAAAATATCATAGTAAGTGAACTTTCTGTCCAGACTAGCTTAGAAGCCTTTCCAGTATAAACCTCAGCTCCTAGCAAATGCAAATGAAACATGAGTCATACACTGTGCTCAGTCCTCCACAGATTTGGGCTCTGATGGACAAACACTGAACAACAGAATTTCAGAGTTAAAGTTTCTTCACTGAAAATATCTTGCCTCTGTTGCCCAGACTTTTAAATCTACGGCAGCGACTATTCATGAAAGGGCAAAGCCAGTTTCAACTGCTCTTTATTTGCCAAAAGCCATACCTGACACACCATTATAGATCAGAATCAGTATAGTGCACTCCACACAGATACAGGTTCACGTCAGTACAATGTGCAATAAGAAGCCTGTTAAATCAGATGATACTGTAATTTAATATGAATGTGTGATGAAGAGTACAAATCTCACTCTGGGAAACAGCAGGTTAAGGAGTAGCTCTGGTCACAGGAGCAGAGTTAAAAGTGAGTGTGCCCTGGTGTGCAGTTCTGGCAAGAGCTGGCTGAGATACAGCAAAAGCCAGCAGGGAACAATTTAAAGAGGTGGCAGGGATCAGGTTAAAATAGGACAGTGCCTGTAAGAGGCCTGAGTTACAATAGGACAGTGCCTGTAAGGGGCCTGGGTTACAATAGGACAGTACCAGTAAGAAATTTTAAAAGTTCTTTTCACCACTGCATGGGAGGCTCTATCCAGCCATGGCTGCTGAGAATGCTCTGAGTGCAAGAAGAGCTTCAAATGTCACAGCACATTTTAGTCAAGATGGTCAGTGTGAGGAAGCAGACCTGACCTGGTAACTCCTGCAAGAATCTAGAGAAACCCTACACCATCCAAAGCAGATCTCAATTCAGACCCCAAGCCACACCAGAAGAGAGGAGCATCTGCCCATGAGCATCCTGATCCTTTTCTGATAAGATGCACTGCAGCCAATCCTTCATCATGTATTTGGAGAGTTAGGAACACAGTAGGAAGGAACCTAGTGATTAGGCTGGGTGATATCATAGTCCTGGTCATATACTCGACCAGCCATCCAAAGCAGATCTCAATTCAGACCCCAAGCCACACCAGAAGAGAGGAGCATCTGCCCATGAGCATCCTGATCCTTTTCTGATAAGATGCACTGCAGCCAATCCTTCATCATGTATTTGGAGAGTTAGGAACACAGTAGGAAGGAACCTAGTGATTAGGCTGGGTGATATCATAGTCCTGGTCATATACTCGACCAGCAGGGTTACCAGGTAGGTTTAGAAAAAATACCGGACACACTTGATGGAGGGGTTGTCGGGGGCAGTAGACCTGGTCGGGAAGGGTCAGGGGAAGCGGGGGAAGACAGGACTGACCCGGGCACATGTAGATCCCGGGGCACTGTCAGTCCCATGCACGGTCCAGAGAAGCGCGAGTAAGTCCGGCTGGGGGAGGAGCAGGGACAAGGCTTCTCCTCCTCCACAAGGCGTCAGACACAGCCAGGGCTCCCAGCACTGATTGTGCCCCACTTCCCAGCCATTCCCCCAGCCCCCGTCAGACTTCCGTCTGGCGCCCAGCCAGAAATCCAGGAAATACCAGACATTGCACATGTCCGGTATTTTCTGGATTTTTTTTACCGGATGGAGGGCCCAAAAACCGGACTGTCCAGTGGAATACCGGACACCTGGCAACTCTACTTGACCTGCCTGTCTGAGGGCCCTGGATTGGAACCCAGAAAAATAGGAGGGCCTAGTTCCCCTACCGCCAACCTGACTTTAACTACTACACATTACCATGAACACCAGACTTAAGAAGTCGACAATATAGCTAACCAGGGCTCTGACCAATAAGAGATTTTTCTAGGAAGACAGTTTCCCATCAGAGTATTTTATGTCTGTTGCACAGTGATGCTTTAGCCATTATATTTTCAGCTACCATGGATGAATTACCCTGCCTCACTGTATTCTCTCTGTCCCTTCCCTCAGCTTTTTAAATTATTATTTTATTGTACAAGGAAGAAATGGGGATATAACTCTAGTTGAATTGTATCAATTTTGATATGTTATGCAACTCTCTTGGTATAGCCACATTACTTACATATGTAGATTTCTTTATATACTGTATAAGACCTGTGTGTGTACTTTGGATTGTTGTGCAATATTAAGATGTCAAATGAAATTTTAAGTTTCCAAAAAGACTGCACTGTACAACGTACTGTTTATATAAAACTTCAAACATGATCTCATGCTGAAGAATAGGATGCGTCTTGGGCATTGGCTCATCAGGTACAAATTCAAATACCATCCTTATGTGCTATTTAATGAAACCAAATACGTTATGGTAGTTTGGACCACTTTTTTGGTCTAATCATGTGTTTAGTTAAGTCTAACCCACAATCCCCATAGTGAAACTCAATTTCCATCTCAGGTACTCAGTTCCATTAATTAAAAAAGCCTACCAGTTATACATCCTACCACTCTTCTCTAGGACAGGGAGACTGAAAAGATGGATCAGAATAACAATCAAGAAAAACTTATCTGTAGTTACATATGTTTCCTCATGTGGCTAGAAATAAAACAACAATCAGAGTGAATCAAACTCTGTTGTTCTTCTTTAGACACAGGGTTACACAGATTAATCCATAAAAATTAAAAGTAACTGAATATAAGCCCAATTTTTTATGCTAATGCCTAACAACTATACCTACAGTGAGTAGAAAAAGCAGATTAACTGACACTGGCAGGCTATTCTTGGATCTCATTATGCCTGCAACTTCCAACAATTAGTTCAATGATTTTGTCTGACGAGTCACGTAAAGCATATCTGCTGGTAACTTGAGGTTTATTCCCTCAGTAATTCCTCATATGGCTAAATATAGAAAAACATGGTCATATTCCTGTATGTTTCTAGCTCAATAAAACTATTGAAGTTATTTTCTTACCTTCTCAGCGTCTTGCTCAAAGAGTCGGAGTTGAAAGCACTGGTCCAATTTCAGTTTGCGAACATGCCACATCTGATGCAAATGCTGTCGGGTTGAATGCAGCTTGTCCAAGAGACTGGTGATCTTTGGCACAAGACTTTGGAAGTCTGCACTCCCGGGAATGCAATTCCTACCAGAAAAACCATCGCTGCACCTTATACACTGTAACAACCTTTGGCCCTCACGGTCCAGTTCCTCCACAGGAGCTTTGATCACTTTCTTCTTAAGCTGTGTGTGCTCATCAATCAGCCTTCTTGACCCTTCTACATCAACCGGAAATTCTTTCCTAGCTAACATTTCCTGGAGGTCCTCTAGCCTTGATAATAAATGGATGGCACTGTTGAAAAACTCTTCCAAGGAAACCCGCAGCTCTATCCATTCATCATGGTTATAATCCAAGGAGCCTTCAAACTCATCAGTCAGCTGGGAAGGATCCACAAGTTTTGCTAGGCCTTCAACGGAGACCATACTTGTCTAAGGGGGGGAAATTATACAATCTGAATCAGCTTTCATTGACCAACCACAAATAATCCTGGAATCTGTAAATGGCATGAATGGATTATTTCCCTCATGAATACATCACCGAAAATTTTTAGAGAAGACAAGAGACTATATCTAATTCCAATTAACTCAACCAGGTTTAAACCGCTTATTTTTATTTAGACCAGGTCTACACTGGCAGCAAAAATTGATGCACTTTGCATTGATTTTCTGGGGTGAACCCACAGCATGAGTTCAACAGGAGAAATGCTCTCATTAACTTCCCTTACTCTTTGCGACAGTGAGGAGTATCGGTATCAGAGATCAATTTAGTGGGTCTTTACTAGACCCGCTAAATTGAACCCCAGAAAATTGATCGCCAGACTGTCAATCCTCCAGTAAGTGGAGATGCTGTCTTATTGGAGAGCGTTACTAAAATCAAATTTTGTTTCATTTTATTTTTAGCTACACTCACCATCTGAAAATGCTTCTGCAGAGATTACTTTAACCTAAAGCTCATCTTCTAACTGAACATCAAAGTATGCTTTCTGAAGACTGGCTATGCTAACTTCCTAAGTGCATACATGATATTACATAGATTCAGGGTGGATAGAAATCAATGATTTACAAAAAACAGATTTAGATGAACAAATTCTGATTTTCTTTTTTTTAAATCATCAGTAAAATACTAAAATTCTAATTTAAAAATAAGTTAAAATTAAATTTCATCACAAACATGCTACACCTATATTAACAGTCTCAGAAAAATGAATTGATGGCTCTAGTCTGCCCAGCCTAACTACCAGATTTTGGATCTTGAAAGTTCTGGTCTTTCAATTTCTGTTTCTCAGCAGACTAATGTAATATGCAAAAAAAGACACAGACTGGGTAAGACTGTTTTTGTTTTGTGCTTATGTCATGGTAGACATTGTCTTAAGACAGAGACAATATATGGGAAAAGAGGGAGGCAACATAAAAAGGACAGTCGAGAGTACTGGAAAGAAAAAGGGAAGACATTCAGCACAGACACAGGTTACAATATTCCCCCACACATTTGCCACAGAAAAACTGTCATGGCTTTTGGGCATAATAGAGACTCTGCTGGGGAATATTTTGAAGAAATTCATTCCCTGGGTAAAAAGGAAAACATGTCAAATGTAAGCAGTGAAAGACGATGCAGGATCTAGTTGCAAGAATGAAACATCATAAGGAAAACTGCTTACTGGGAGAAAATGATGTGGATGAAGATTTGAATAAGTCTGCAGAACAATATGAATCAACTGGTTAGTAATTTAAATTCTCTTTGCAATACATCATTCTTCATGGTTCTCTCTATGCCTTTTGGTATAAATGTGATTTCACAAATAAATTCCCAAGCTTTTTGCTATATTGGATGTTTCTAGAAAAAAAAATTAACTTAGCTAATCCTTATTGCTTGTTTAATTAGTTAACTAGCTTTAGAATCCATCACCCAAGTGTACAATACAGAAAATTGCAGTAAGAGAAATGTAGAGTTGCCAGTTGCCAGCGAGTGTTTTCTTATTTTATATTAGATAATGCATGCCCCTTCTATTGGAACATTGTGGCCACAGACCATAATGGTATGCCATAAGTCTATTACCTATTTTATTTCAGAATACCTCAGCTTTCCTAAGGGAACCCTATCCTTTACTTGTTTTCTCACAAAACAGAAGTGCCAGTTAGTTCAAAGGTGCTTATTCCACCTTCATTGTAATGGTTGAGTCCTTACAATGAGTCTACACTTCACCTAGTAGAGCAGGCATTGGTGGAAGTTTCCTACATACAGTGTAATTTGAACAGTATGCAAGAAATATTGAGGGGGAAATTTTCCAGTTTAAGCTTTGATGCATGGAGCAATGTACACAGTAATCCACTAATATGTGCATGTGTGACAACAGAAGATGGACTTGCATATCTTTCCGAAACAACAGGTATATCCGGAAATGTGCACACAACAGAATAGTTAAAATGAGTGACAGTAAAAGTTGTAATAAACGGTGAATAAAAATTCAGCTGTCACATGTACAGTTTTGTCATAGACAGTGGCTTCAAACAGGGCAAAGATGAGACGATAAGAATAGAAAGTATGCTCCCTTAATAGCATATGGCCACGGTGCCCATTTAATGAATTTGTTAGCCAAAGACTCAAATATGCCTTCTTCAGGAATAAAAGAAAAGTTTGCTGAAGTCACAAAATACTTCCATAACAACCATTTTGCTTCAGCTTCAATGAAGAGGGTGGGAGGATCCAAATTAATTCTCCCTCAGAATGTTCAGTGGAATTCTGAGGGTGATTGTTTTGAACAATGTATTAAGAATTGGCCCATTCTCATAACAGAAGAAGAAAATCCTGATTAAATAGATGGAAGTATCTTGTCCAAAGTATCTAAAACTGGACTAAAGAGAAATATAGAGGATATCCTCAGTATACTAAGACACATTAGCCATAGCTATAAACAAACTTCAGAGAAACTGCTGCTGCATTGTTGATGCTGTTGAAATTTGGGAAGGAACTTCGAGAGACATTGACAAAAGTACCTCACCAGAAAGTTAAACTACAGGCAATAAAGAAGAGAATGGATCAAACACTAACTCCACCTCGTTTTCTTGCAAACATTCCTAACTCCACATAGAAAGGGAGAGGCCTAACTTCTGAAGATGAGGATCCTGCCATGGCATGGGCATCTCAAGATCACTTCTCAGTTATTCCAGTTATAATAAAGTTCAGGGCTAAACCATATAATCAGTACATGTTTACTGATGATGTTTTGAACAACATCACTCCCCTGAATTGGTGGGAATCATTAGCCAGGCACCTCGAATAGAGTTCCTTCAATTGCTAAGCCAACTTTTCCCAGCAGTAGCTTCCTCTGCAGGCACATAGAGAATATTTTCATAATTGAGTATCATTCACACAAATCTAAGAAATTGATTGAAAAAGGAATTGAAAAACCTGGAAAACTCCTGTTTTTGTTTCAGTCTATTAATCAAAATGACAGTGGTAACTAGTTGTAGAAGTTTTAAGGGTAATGTAAATGTACTGCTCTCAGTACTTGTCTGTTAGAGTTAATAAAATACGAACATTAAAAAAAAGTTTGAGGACCGCTGTCAGCCGGCAACTCAGAAGACTGCTGCAATTGCAAATGTGAAAGAGTTATGCTACATTTAAAATTTAGTTTAATAAAATGTAAGCACTGTTGTGTTTGTGTATGTGATTCGGTTCTTAACATTCCTAGTGTACTTCTGCTGCATCTGCTGCTTGACACAGGTAATGAGTATTATGTACTGCCCCAAATTAATAAAAATCCAGTTATCTAAAAAAATTACACAAAGTATAGCCTTCACAGATATTGTAAAATGCTGTACTGAGTTCTAAATTAACATGTTTTAGTGATCAGAACTGCACCACTGTTTAAGAACTATGTGAAAAAGTATCAGTTGGAAATTTGATTTAAATCAATGAGTTTTCCTTGGTGATTTAAATCTTGGTTTAAATCAATCCACCCTGCACTGACTCATCTTATCTGCATTATATGCAGCTCAGAGACTGTACAGCCACTTACATTTTCTTTCAAATTATTCCAGTGGACTTTGATGTGCAGAAGGCAACTCAGAATTTTGATTTAGTAATGGGTAATGGCCTACTGGGGGATAGCTGTTCACATTCATTTTATGTATATTCTTTTTATCAAAATACAGGAAAATTTTAACAGAAGTGCTCTAGTGATTTTGGGTGCCTCCATTTTTAGGTGCTCAACTTGGGAGTCCTTAATGGGGCCTGGTTTTCAGAAAGTGCTGACTACCCTACCCCTGAAAACCAGGCCGAGTGATGTCTTGTTTTGTACACCCAAAAAACTGAGGCACCCAAAATCATATCAAGTCACTTCTTTAAATCTCTAGCCTGGTCCAGTTCCTACTGAAGTCAGTGGAAAAACTTCCATTGAAAGCTATTCGTCTGAATTTGTCCAACAACACAGGTTGTGTGAGGGTAAATCCAGATTGTTATTCCAGTTTCCTTTGCAGATAAAAAGTATTTCAGAGAACTCTGTTATATACTAAAATAGCCTTTTTACTGATGATATGGTCAGATTATTATACAAGCAAACCGGTCACTCGAGGGTCTATTTTAAAATTCTGTTGTAAGGGTTCCTTCGCGGACAGGATCATTTCAGTGCGTTCAGGATGACTGTGTAAAGGTAAATATGCAATTTTTAAAAGGCAATTAGAATGACAGGACCTGTCAACCTGTACAATGACCCTTTACAGGAGTAATATGATAATTCAATTTGGAGTATGATTACTTGTCAAAAAAAGCGCTCTTCTTACTGCTAAAACACTGTTTGCCAAGACGCTGCAATACATTCTCTCTCTTATCAGCATTTTGACATGATGATATGGCAGGAGGACTTTTTATTTAAAGAGTTCTGCAGGCAAATTTGTTATTCAGATTTGTTTCCTTTGAGAATTGTTTGAGAG